TTATATTGCCTTCTAATAAGTTAACAAAAGAAATACACTGTACAGGGATAAGTTGGCATTCATTTACTTTTTACTAATTGATAGTGAAAAATAAATTCTACGGTTCAAGAAAATGGATTTCATGTTCACAGTTCTTTTAAAACAATTTGTTATTCTGTGCAAAGCTTTTTAGTCAAGGTACTCTCTCACTAGAATGACAGAAAACATTAAACTATCCATAAAATAAAAATATATGCAACATATTAATTTTCCTTTTACTTCTAATTATGACATATTTTGAAATGTATGTTGAAGATAAATAAAAAAACAAAAAGCAGAGGCCCTATCTTGCCTATTTTGGTCACTAATAAAGGTCTGGGACTAGTTGCTACAGGCAAAGAAGCATTACCTTAGAAAGCAATTTACCTATCCCTGTACATCCTCCTAAACCACAATAGAATGCCATAGGTGTGAATGATATTTGGACGGGAAAAAAAGAAAGAAAGGTAGATAGAAAGAAATAAGTTAAATAGAGTAATCTTGCTTTCTTTTTTTTGAAGGTTCAGAATTTATTATGTCAAATTCTATTATGATAAAAGCATGAAAACATGAGATGATTATGTGAGCATGCCAATTTTAAACATGCAAATAGGTTTAATGGAATGTATTTGACAAGCTTCCTCTACTTTCATTGACTTAATTTGAGTATGGCTTGGTTTATGAATCCACAATTCTTTTTTTTTTTTTTTTTTTTTTTTTTTTATCCTCACCGCAGGACATTTTTCCATTTTTTGTTCAGGTAGAGTGGGAGGGAGAGAGAGGAACAGAGAGAGAGAGAGAGAGAGAAACATCGACGTGAAAGGAACACATCGAGTGGCTGCCACCCGCACAACCGACCAGGGCTGGGGACAAACTGCAACCGAGGTACGCGCCCTTAGTGGAAACCGAACCCGGGTCTCTCAGGACCGCAGGCCAAGGCTCTCACCGCTGAGCCAAACCGGCCAGGGCTGAATCCACAATTCTTAAGAACACAGTTTTAAGCATTTTGTGGGACATGTGTACACAAATTTATGACTTGGTTCTTGCAGAGAAACTAGTGTCTCAGAAAACATATAATCCTAGGGGTTATAAATGGGTTAAAAAGAATTAGATTTTTTTATTTATACTTCAGAAATGTAATCAAGTGAATGAATGGTTTCATATACAGTTTTACATCCAAGAGCAGTGACACACTGTTCATACATTAATTCTATAGGGAAATGTACATCCTTCTTCTTCTTTTTCTTCTTTTTGTTAGGTAAGATCTGGCAAGTGTTCACAGACAAAAAAAAATCACACAAATCTTTCATTGCAACTTGAACTCATGAAATTACAAGGGTAAGCCATGTTTCTTTCAATAGCTTTATGGCATTAATAAAGCTGTTGTTCAAATACCTGTTAATATTGGCATGTATAGTTTGAAATCTCACAAATTCTCAAAAATGTGAATGTCTAATTTGAAATCTATGAAATAACCCAATGGATTTTGTGACTGAATCTACCCAGGGGCGTTAAAGGCCAAGATGGTTTATTTTAAGTGTACTTTTGTAGCTGTATACTTAGCTGACCATTTTTCAATTGCCTAATCACAAAAAAAATGCATTCTTATGAAGTTAAGCAGCTGTACACACAGAATGCTGATGGCATTTTCTCCATATCTGAGTTACCTAAAGAAAACCTAGTTAGTGATGATTCTACCAAATACTTGTAACATTCACATAAATTTTTAATTGATTTTCAAACAGTACACTTGGCCATGAATCCAATCACATAAAATATAAGCCTTAAACCCACTAGATTTAAGCAATTGTGTCTTTGTAGACTAAAACTATGTAAAATAAAATCCGATAATTCCCTGGTGTTAGAGGTAGACAGTTTTCTTTCAAATCCTAGGTTCGGTCCTTTATTTTATTCAGCAGTGAAAGCCATGAATACAGAACAAATAACAGTTCTTACAATTCTCAACCATGACTTCTAACGTCAGAGAATTCAAAGTATGAACATAATACACAGTAATGAAAAGTATCAAAAATTAGTTTACCTCAAAAAGATAAATAAAAACGTATGTTCCACCAATACATAAACAGATGTTTGTGCTACAGTTAAAATTTGTTGTATACAAAAGATCATAGTCCCCATAATCAGTTTGATAGAAGCAAGAATACATGAGCCATTTAAATTGTCAGACATTATGCTTTATAAGGTATGCACAGAAGTTCAAGCAATAAATACATACATTAGTTCAAAGCCTTACAATAGCTACTCAAAGCAGATGCAGAAAAGCAGATTTGCTATTACTAGCAAGCAATGATATAAGTAAAAATTCATGAAATGCATTAAAGCAACATTTTTTTTAGAAAAAGTCTGGTCATTTATGGGTCCACCAACATTTTTACATAATATGCACAATTATCAAAATACAGACCAAGCATTTCAGAAAACTCCAAAAAACCTAAAATCTATTTTCAAAGCAATTGCAGTTTTGGAGGTTTTTCTGGTATAATGTGCAAGCAGCTATTTTTTTTTTTTATTGTATTCATATAAAACCCATGCAAAACTCTACAGGTATATGCATTCTGTGGCTGAGACTTCCTTTCAAAAGTTTTGTAACTGAGGTATGCATACTTTAGCATGTAGTCTTAGGCCACCCTCTGATGGTAGAGCTCTCACAGTTACTTTCAGTCATTCAAAGCCTTTGAACATGCACATGAAAGACCCATTTTCCCTTCAGATAATTCTGACAGGATCCTAGATGACTGACTGAAAAGCAGCCTTCACAACACCAATCCTTCTTGTGATACCATGTGGTAAACTTCCTGTTCATTGATCATGACCCAAAGACAAACATAATGAAAAGTAGCAGTTACTGTGACGTTCTCATGTTTCATGCAATCTGCCATAGTTGTTCTAATTTTTTCTTTTTTTTCTTTTTCCTTTTTTTTTCTTTTTTTCGTTTTTTTTCTTTTTTTTTTTTTGCAGAGGTAGACGCTTTCAGAAAGCCATTTGGGTAAGTGGGGAAACCCTTTTGAAAGCCGTTATGTTCTTTTATTTGGTGTGATAGATGACTGGGTGTCTCTCTAACTCTAATCTCTATTTGCTGACTTCAGCAAAGAATAAATGATGAGCTTAGTTTGCAAGAACCAGCTCCATCACATGGAACTGGTACATATGTTAAGCTCTAGCAGCCACCTTCTGTCAAAACTGTTTGTAAAGCAATAACCATAATCAGGTTATGAGGTCCCTTGGTTGGGGGAGAAAGTATTACCAAGACTTGGCACAGCACATGAAAAGCAACATGTAAAGTTTCTAGGTTTTAAGCAAATATCTGACTTTGCTATTTTCAACTACACCATAATGCATTATCATAGTTTTGGGGTTTGGAGTTGTCAAGAAAATCAGCATTCCAACAATTTGGCCTGTGCAAGTCTTTGAAAGGGAGAGTATTGTTAGTGTTAATATCCCGTATATAAGCAGAGGCAGAATTATATGTAACTTTGGTTTGACTGAAAATAAATACCATGGACTACAATTGCTATAATCTTTGCTTTCAGTGTAAAAACTCAGCTAGATCACTTTAAAATCAATATGAAATTAATTTTTGGCTTTTCTAGACCTTTTATGTTTGGTTCCTATTTTTTTTTTTTTTTTTTTATTATAACTTAAGACTATAAAAAATAGTACACAACAAAGGTTCAGACCATACAAGACATCTTCTAACAACATGTATTCACCACCAAAAATAAGTGACTAGACTGGGGAAAACAAAAACACAGTGTACTATATATATATAACAATATGCAATCTGCATTTGCATCAAGTACGTAATCATTTTGGTCAGTGATCCACATTTGTTGCTTTCTAGCATATCATAATTTCCACTGTGGATTTTGTCCTCACCTCTGTCTTTAATGAAAGAAAATCTTCATTGCATTTAGATGGACTTTTGGTCTCAGAAGATTGCTCTGTGACTAAATTAACTTATTATTTGTGGTTTTTGTCATATTTAATTCTTTGTTTAGGGCTAAATGAAAAGATCCCAGAGGTCATCAGAAAACAGCAGGTAGTTCATGGAAAGGTTCCTTTGTATTAATTGAAGTTACAGAAGGCTGACCAAAGCATGTGGCTGCTTCTGTCCTTGAGCTCTTGGCCATGGTTAGAGTTGGCTTTGGTTTGCAGCTGTAGCCTTTGACTGTGTTTTCAGGTAGACAAAGCTTTATCACAAGGAGGTAAAGAGTACAGTTGTAAGATCTATGCAGATATGCAAATGTTTCTATGGTGCTTGCACAGATAATGTTAGTTTAGGATTGCACTTTACATCTTAACACTAACAGCACAGACTGGAAGCCTAAGGTTTTAGATGGTTGCAACAGTCTAATTACTGTGTTTTGTAATTACTAACTTATGTCATTTACAGTTGGTGGCACTAACATAAAAAAACTAATGTTTTGTTGTTTAAAATCCAGCTAGATACAAGCAGTGACACTAATTTCTGATACTACTCCTGTGCAAATTAAAAACAATAGCAACAAGTTGAGCTTGACCAGCAATTGCTTCTAACATTACAACTACTGAATGCTGGAAAATTCACATTAATGAAACTAACACTATTTTTGGCAGTATATGAGGCGCATTTGTTTTCTACAGGACACGTATCCTCATATTCAGTCATTTCATGAACCCTTAAGAGCCAAATTTTTAAATGGGCAAAGCCATTATAGAAAGAACAGTTCCTTTTTTTTTCTTCAAGAAAATCAGTTTTTGTCTTTTTTTTCTAAAAAACAGAGAGAGAAAGAAAAGAAAACAAGCAATTTGCCTGTTGGTACTGAATCCCAAAGGGCTGGCTTAATAAGTTCCTTTAGGGTGGTCTCCTTTATCCATGCTTAATAAAGAGTCACAGTAAAAATTTGTCAAATATTCATGGTTGTGGAGTGGTTATGAAGGTCAGTAATATGTCCCTTCACAATGAGGTTTCACAAGTCAGTTCTCATTCCATATCTTCAGATAAAGGCTCCTCTTCAATCTCTCTGTCATCTTCTAACTCTGGACTGTGATTAGCTGTTGTCACTAAGGACACTGGGCAGTCTTCATCCTCTGCAATCACTGGCTCTTCCTTGACATGGATTGAATGT